GCAAGAAAAACTCCTGCAATCAATCCCGGCTTTCGCTAGCTAAATCCGGATCCGTTGCTTATCAGTAGAGGGAGCAATCAAACCTAACTAAATCCGGTGCTTCTTTCCGGATAGATTTTCTTTAGTCAAATCCGCCTCCTTGCTCTACTGACTTCTACCGAGACAGATAATGAGACCTTTGGGACTGACTCCGTAGGTTCATTAAGAGTCTGGTTCTGTACTAGAACCGGGGTCTATTTTGCCAACTAAGGCTCTTTCTTTTCCTCATTAGGTTGATTGCCCATTGGCAGGTGATTAAATGAGATTCTATTTAGTCCAATCTGCGCTCCTGCTTGCCTGCTTCTTCCTCCTTCTCTCTCCTTTAGGGAGGGATAGATGGATTGAACCTCTCCGGTGGGGAACTGAACTCTGGTTTTCGGGGCTAGTCCTCCTCCTCCGTAACCAGTCCCGTCGTTCGTTGGTCGGTACTTATTGCTTCGCTCGAGTGACGCCTTATAGGGGCCAACAAGAAAACTCCCCATAGCTAACGCGCAGCCCAGCCCTCTATTTATCCCAGCTGGAGAGTTTTGACTTGCCCTACTGGAGATTCCAACCCAACTATGTAATATTCCATCACTTAACACGTGATATATCTCTGGTTTCGGAGTAGTCAAATACAGTCTCTGATCGAGAGAAGCCAGATCGCTATCGCTATTCCGGACTTGAGAGTCCTCTTTTTCTTTAGAATTTATTATAAGATACCTCGCCTTTGATTCGCCGGGCTTAGAAGGAGTTTTCAGGTCAGAGTCAGAATGTGTATTATTACTTAGTGGCGGAGAGGAAGCCAAACAAACCGGCCGGCCCGGCCTTTTAATCAATCTAATTGCAACTAAGCTAATATGCGCCAAAGCCAGGTGTCAGAGAGAGGTAAGCTCTAGTCAGTCTAGTCTGCCTATCCGCATCAGAAGCAGAAGCAGTTGGATCTGTTGCGGAAGAAGCTAGAGAAGGTCTAACTATAGCGGGAGCAAGCACTGGCCCTAGATGTGATAGGGGCAGGACTATTTCCGAACACTTTCTAACCGAACAACCTCTCCGAATCGAACCCTTTTGAGCCAGCCAACTTTTGCTTTTGAGCCTCCTTACGGCAATTCGAACCAACTCTCAAGCCAAGCTAACTCACCGGCAATTCGAACCAACTCTCGAGCCTACTTTCGAAGTTCGAGACCACGCCAAGATGCGAGCGAGCGCGGCCGCCTTAATTGCTTAACAGAATTCGAGGGACCAGACTCCCTTGTTGGAAGAAAAGAAAGAGTGACCTTCCTTCTGGTGGATGTTTCCCCTCTGGTGGGTTTTTCCTTCGGTTCGGTTAGCGCAAAATGCCTATTTTGTTTTGGTATAACCAAAAAATAGAATTGCCAATGATGGACCCTAATTCAGTAAATCGAGAGGAAGGTTTTTCCGCTTCTGTTGATTCAGCAAAAAGAAAGTTATTCCCCGCCTAAGGCTAGAGACAAATCGAACCCTTTCGAGCTAATTTGAACCAACTCTCTCGCCTCCGCATCTGGACCGGCGCCACTAGCGAATCTAGTCTAGTTACGCTATTTTCTGTTTCAGTTCAGGAAAGCAAGCTAATCATCTGTTTCAGTTGCTGCAAAAGCAGAATCAATCATGTAAGCCTGGCCCAAGCCAACTACCTTTTCTGTCTAATCCCCTATTCCGTTTACGGCATGGACTACCAGGGTATCTATCTAATCCCGTTCGCTCCCCAGCCCCGGAAAAAGCACCGGATTGAACTTTAGCTTTGCTCTTCGGAAGCCTGAACTCAACTACCGGTAAGGAAGACAGACAGCACGATACGATCAGGGGTTCTTCTTTAGTTAGAGGGATCTCTCGCTTAGCTGTACCAATTTAATGCCTTAGCCCTGAAGACTGTTCCAAGCACAAATCCGCGGATGCGGATAAAGCAGCGGATCCCATTGGTGTTGATTGACCCAGCAACGACGAATATCTTAGCCCTAACGAGCTTATCTAGTCTAGCCAATTCCGATTTCTGAGCCTATCTTAGCTGGTGATCCAATCCGGGCTCCTTCTTTTCCTTAACCGGTGGCGAATCTAGCTCATTTCTTTTTCTTTTTAGTGTATCTCCGATTGACCCGCCCGGAATTCAATCAAGTTCGAAAAGATGTGACTTGACTTTAGAAAGATTATTAAAAGAGTGACCCTGAGCATAGGCCGACGCATGCTCATTCTATTTTCCCATAGTGGCATTCTCCTTCCTGATTCCAGAGCAGAGAGAGGAAATCTGTCTCATTCGGGGAGATAGTCAAGCATTTTTCTACCGGGCTCAGAGAAGAAAGATGCAAAGGCAGGGATTGAGTGAATATAATATATATGGGATTATCTCAAATTGATCCAAGGAATTGGAACTTATGCATTTCTCTTTCTTAGAGGCGATTCTTCCTGTAGCTTGCTACAAGTAAACTTACCTAAGCCCAAGCATTAAGCTAACGCTATTGAGTTTGATTTCTTGTTCACATACGATAATCAGATAAATCAGAGTTCCGATTCCTTTATTTAACTATTTCTCTTTCTGTAAGCTTTGCTTACTATGTAGCTCGACCGTAGGGAGAGCGACAGCAAGAGCAACGAGCAATAAAGAAGCGAAGAGGGTGCCCGGCTATTAAGATTGATCTTGAAAAGGCTTATGACAGGGTTGAGGCCATCAGGACCAGGAGCCTTCAAGGGACCCATGTCAAAGAGAGCTTGCTTGATCTCGCCTTCACTCACATTGCTATTCAGGAGGTTTAACATGTGCTTGTCAATGCGGAGATCCTCGAGAAAGCAGGACCTGTATCCACCCTGAAACCTTGAATTAAGACCCTCCAATCTCTTGAACAGGACAGTTTTCCGGTGGTTGATGTTTCCAAAGACTCTAACGTTCCACTTCTTAACTTCATGAACGAAGTTAGCCACATTCTCGTCCCAGTCTCTATCATGCCTCCACACTTCTTTGACAAAATCTCCAAAAACCTCATGATAGACCCAAGGGGCCAAGAAAGGAAAAGGCCTCTCCTTGCCAGAAAGAGGCTCGTTCTCAAACATCCGGAGGAGGTGATGATCAGATTTCAATTTGGGTAAGTGAGTCACCGCTGCGTTAGGGAACAACTCACACCAAGCTTCACTAGCTAATGCTCGGTCGATCCTGCTCTCACTTTCTCCTCTAGACCACGTAAAAGGTGGCCCTTGGAACCCCAAGTCCCTTAGGTCAGAATCTTCGAACCAAGCAACGAAATTATTATCAACATGCAACCGAGAAGATCTTCGTTCAAAAGAATATAAAAACAGCATTGAAATCCCCAGAAAGACACCAAGGTAAATGTTCACTATCCCCGATGCGCTTAAGGTTCCTCAAAAGTTCTAATCTTCTCTGAACTAAAGGACAACCATAAAAAACTGTAAGCATCCACTCAGGCCCCCCCTTTTCCCGGAACTGAAATACAGCAAGAGCATCCAGCCAAGAAGGTCCTATTTGAAAGCCCGGATTCTTAGTCTGCTTTCACTGAGAATTCAATATCTCATACACCAGCACCAGGGCTATACTTTGAATCACTAACTTACTGGTTTGCTTAATAGAACCTTCCTGACAGGCTTACTACTACAGCTACAGAGCTAGAACCAGTGGACTAAAATGATTCTGATTTTTCTTTCCTTACGAGATATCCCGGGGGATTAAGAACCTCTATCAAAAGGGATACGATCTCACCTGGGCCAGCTTTCTATCACGCTGACTTTATATATCCACTTTCTTACTTGGGACTTCCTGATCCACGCTAAAACTCCTACATCTATTCCTATATCACAATCTCTCTGTCTTCCTAACCGCTTTCCAACATCATCTTTCTCGCTCAAAGATAAACGACTAACTAAGCACTAGGTACGGTCAGCCTTAGACAAGACAAGCCAATCATTCACACCTGACTTTCTCTATAGAAACTTTTTCTATAGCTAGTCCTATTGAGTAAGGGAAGGGGTCGGTAGGCTCTCTATCTCAATCCGAGGAACTGAACTAGAGCTCAGGAAGAAACCAGCCCTAAATCCGCTTATGAGAACTTAACTTCACGATTGGACGGCTAAGCTAAGCACCAACTTCCGCAAGGACTGCCCTGAAGGATAGGACTTTTTTCTCTTACCAAGAGAGGAGAGACCCACGGGGCGGTAAGAGATTCAGACTGACTGTGAACCTTACGATTTTGCTATCTGAGCAGTTGGACTTAAAAGAAAAGTGCCCGGCCGGAAGAGAAAGAAAGAATTCCGAACCCAGCAAGAAAACGGATGCAGCAATCAATAACACTCCTCTCCCTATCGGGAGAGCTACATAGTAACCTCTCGCTTTGCTCTTCGATCTCGCTACTCGACTGTTAAGGAGAGGGCTTAACGCTCCTGCGCTGAAAGCATCAAACTGGATTAGATATAAGCCTTTAATACACCCGAAAGAGATGAAAGCCAATGGAAGAAGCGTATGAGTTGAAAGCAAAGAATGAAACTAATCAAACTAATGAGCTGTTAGGGGAGCAGTACACTAGAGGTAACATTCTGTCAGCAAGACTAAAAGGAGAGGAAGCTCAGAAGTGAGTTGATAGGTAATGATCAATCCAGCTGTGTTTCTGGCATTGGTTCTGTCAAAATCAAGATGCACGACGGTGTAGTAAGAACTTTGACTGAGGTGCGGCATGTTCCAGATATGTCAAAGAACCTTATTTCGTTGACCACATTGGATCTCGGTGGTTGTCAATTTGTTGGCGGGGATGGTGTTTTAAAGGTTGTAAAAGGCGCTCTAGTTGTGATGAAAGCTCATCAAGTTGGTAGACTGTACGTGTTACAAGGATCTACCGTTATAGGCACTGCTGCTGTATCTTCCTCCATGTCTGATTCAGAAGTCACTAGACTATGGCATATGAGGCTGGGACATATGAGTGAGAAGGGTTTGACATTGTTAAGCAAGAGGGGTCTTCTTTCTGGTCAGAGTACATCCAAGTTGGAGTTCTGCGAGCGTTGTCTCTTTGGCAAGCAAAAGAGAATCAGTTTCAACTCAGGGCTTCACAGAACTAAAGGTACTCTTGATTACATACATTCTGATCTTTGGGGCCCAGCACGTGTTCCTTCAAAAGGTGGTCCTCGGTATATGCTTACCTTCATTGATGACTACTCCAGGAAGGTATGGGTTTATTTTATGAAAAAAAAGAGTGATGTGTTTGTCACTTTTAAGCAGTGGAAGGCTTTAGTTGAAAAACAAACAGGCAAGAAGATTAAACGCCTTCGCACTTCTAATGGGTTAGAATTTTGTGATGGTGATTTCAACAAATTCTGTAAAGATGAAGGCATTGTTAGGCATCTTACAGTCAGAGGCACTCCACAACAGAATGGTGTCGCTGAGCGGATGAATAGAACTTTACTGGAGAAAGTTCGTTGCATGCTATCTAATTCTGGCTTATCCAATGATTTTTGGGCGGAAGCAGCTTCTACAGCTTGCTACCTAGTGAATCGTTCTCCTAATGCTTCTATTGACTGCAAGACTCCAGAATAAGTATGGTCTGGCCACCCTGCTGATTATTCTGAGTTAAGGGTATTTGGATGTCCTTTATATGTTCATGTTAATGATGGCAAGTTGGAACCTAGATCCAAAAAAGGCATATTCATTGGTTACCCAGCTGGTGTAAAAGGATACAAGGTTTGGTACCCTGATCCAAAGTCACCTAAATCTGTAATCAGTAGAGATGTTGTGTTTGATGAGTCAGTCATGCTTCATCAGAAGAAGGAGCCTTCTAATTCTTCTGAGACAAGTGTGAAGAATTCAAGTGAGCAGGTGGAGTTTGAGGTGGAGAATACAAGTTCTTCACAAAATGATTCACAATCAAATCCAGTCCAGCTATCTACTTCAGAGGATGCAGAAGATTCACCAGAGGTGGAGTCTCTCCATAGGAATAAAACATGGGTTTTAGTTAAACCGCCTAAAGACAAGAAAATTGTTGGCTGCAAATGGGTCTTCAAAAGAAAAGGAAGGAGTCCTCTCCGGGAGATGAAGGAGTCAAGTATAAGGCTCGCTTAGTTGCAAAAGGATACAGTCAGGTACCAGGTGTAGATTTTAATAAAGTTTTCTCACCTGTAGTAAAACACTGTTCCATTCGGGTTCTGCTCGCATTGGTAGCCATGTTTGACTTGGAGTTGGAACAGTTGGATGTCAAAACAGCTTTTCTACATGGTGATTTGGAGGAGCAGATTTATATGCAGCAACCTGAGGGATTTCTTGTTGAATATAAGGAGGAAAGCTCACAAGGGGAGTTACTTTACTTATTACTCATACTGAGACTGACTACTAACTACTAAGAGACAACTATCCAACTTGCTCAACTCTGAACTCTGAACTCTGAACTCGAACTCAGCAGAAACCTTACTCTTTACTGCTTTCTCAAGCCTACGGGAGAGGATTGACACCGATAGGGAAGGGTTACGGTACCTCGACTGTTAGGGATAGGTATTCAATTGCTCGACTGACAAGGAGAGGTATGAGAGAACTGAACTTACTCGAAGAGGGAGGATGGATGCGAATGAGCTGCAAGAATGCGTAGCAAGAGAAAGTTTTATCGACCGATAGCGACAGGGTTGACTTAGTGCTTGCTTGTTGGCTTGAGCGCGTTAGCCTATTGAGTTTGTTTTCTTGCTAGTTGCAGAAATAAGATCCGTTTCAGTTGAAGAAGAAGAAGTGAGGGAAGCCGTGCCAGCTGTCTGGAGTCCTTCAGTTCCAGGGATTGGAATGAAGTTACTCGACCCTAGGTAGAGGAACGGACAAGAGCAAGTAAGAGCAGCTCGAGACTGACTATTTCCGAACTTCATTCATTCTTATGATTCTGTAACTTCACTTTCCTACGGGTTTGGTTGAATTAAGACTTAATATTGCTTCTCTTTCCTTACAGTGTAACTTGCCTCAAATATTCTTTCAGTTCTGTTCTGAGATATCAATACAATACGCCCTGGAGCGATAGCAGAAGCGAGAGGGTCGGGCTCGATGTAATTGAGTCTTTCGATGTAGTTCCATGTCTTCTATGTCCCTCAGTGAAACCTTTGATATTAAGCCCGTTGGTCGAGCTACTGCGTAACCTGACTCACGAACGGTACCAGTCAACATTAGAGGAAGTGCAATACTTGATATGGGGCTATGGAGTTATCTTTCTTTCCTTCCCTTATCCTTATGTCTATGCTAAGCCTTAACAATCCTCCTTCCTTTCTTCCCAGCTATATTCTTTCTTTAAATAGTTACACCAATTCTCTTCCTGCGCTTACGCTTGCTACTATAGTAGCTTCTGACTTCATACGGCAAGAAAACGATCAGATAAATCCATCTTCTAGTTCCTACGATAAGATTTCTTTATCAGAGGTAGGTTCGAAGAGCTGCTTCGCTTCTAAAGAAGACAGGGAAAAGATACAGAGTCAATCTCATTCAAGTTCTTATTCTGCTTTCCATCCCGGTCTCGAGCTACCGTACCCTAAAGCTTCTTTCTTTCCTCCCCGCTCCGTGGCCGATTGGGGCAGGATGGCTACGACATTCTTCTGGGCCTACTACCCTAAGCGCACTACCGGGATCCGACGCCCCTTGTAAGAAAGCGTACCGAACCTGGCATTGAGTCAGGAACCTTGACTCGTTCACTCCGTACCAAAGCTTCTTTCATCAATCCTCTCGCTATTGCTCGTTTCACTTCCTCTCGCTTCGCTCGAGCATCTCCGAACGTGCCTATAGCTCAATACAATCCCGTTTTCTAAGGTCTTGTGTCTGCTGGGATCTAGTTTACTACAAAGAATACCTTCAGTAAGAAAATCTCGGGCTACAGCCTCTTTTCCGAACAAGCGTAAGCGCAGGAAGAGAATTGATCTATATAGCCAACTAAGGCCTTTCTTTTCTAGACCTTATATCATGGTTTAGGGAGAGCGTCTTCCTTCCTACCTTGCTTGCTTTAGAGAAGAGGGAATTCTTTCTTTACTGAGTTCTATTCAAAAGCTTAGGTAAAGCCCTTTAGTCCTGCTGTTCAGTTCCTGGGATAGGTATGAAAGGTTTGAAGAGCTTACTATACGCGCAGGAGATTGAGATAAAGCAAGATAGGACGTAGTTGCTCGACTGATAAGGAGAGGGTTGAAGCTGCTGTCTTAGTTCCTGCTTTCTTCTTTCTCTTTCGTCTTTGCGGAAAAGAGGCGGGCAATCTTGCGGAGAGTTGGTGGTAAATTCTTTGATATAGTTAGTGTTCCGCGAGTGGGATAAGGAGAAATCCGAGATCAAATAGAACCGCAACACCCCCGAGGGCCTTTTCATAAAATTACATAAGAGAGGGACAAATGCCGTCCCTTGCTTCTTTCTCTGTGAAGATAGACTGCTGTTTATTGCTTTGCGTGTCAAGTGCGAGATTGGATCAAAAATAGCGTATGAAAGGATTATGGTCTATCTAGTACAGTACGATCGATCAAGTCATTCAGTAAAGTCTCTTAGCTAGGTCTTTATGGAATTCTATCTATTAGCAGGTCGGTCTAGTTCCTAACCTTGATGGTTGAATTGGAATTAATGTACAATAAGAAGAGAGGCGAAAGAAGTTCGATAGCCATACTAGTGATTTGTAGGAGACGAAAAGTCTTTAGTGAACATTTCATGGAGAAAGCTTACATGTTGGGCCAGGCTAGTTTGCTTCGATGGTAGGAGTCCACGCTGTGAGGCAGCCATTTCCAACCCGGATGGGCCCTTTCTTTGCGATCCCAGAGTTCAGGATTGACGTCCTTTATCGAGCTTCTATCTTGATACAGTTGTAGTCCCGGCTATATGATCGGCCACAGAATGGTTGGTGGTATCCGAGTCGACTATAGCACACTAAGCAACCTGCCATTGATTAAAACAAAAACATCGATCGACCTTTGAATCGTATCATCTATGGCGAAGGGAATCGTAACATTATAATTCCAATTCATAGAATAGGCTCGTCGTCTCTTTCCTGTTGATGTGAAGTCGAGAAAAAATCTCGTAAGAGAAGAAAGGCTTTTTGCCTAGGATCGTACCGTAGAAAGAAAAGAAAGACTGCCTACTTGAATCATCTAGTTTCGTGTACTGATTCTTTTCGAGATTGGGTTGGTCTTCAGTGTGGGCTGTCTCCTCTATCAAAATAGTAAGAGAAAGAGAAGGGGAAGAAGCGGGGTAGAGGAATTGGTCAACTCATCAGGCTCATGACCTGAAGATTGCAGGTTCGAATCCTGTCCCCGCCTAATCATCTGAGGCCGTAGTCAGCCTCCATCTTTCTGATTCGTAAGTAACTCAGTGAGTGCTTTCCTTTTCCCATGTCTTTTTTTGTCAACAACCAACCACCATATATAGTCAAAAAAAACACTAGTCCTACGCTACAGGCTTTTCGGAGTTCAGTCTGTAGGTCAGAATTTTTTCTCAATCAATAATGCCTCAACTGGATAAATTCACTTATTTCACACAATTCTTCTGGTCATGCCTTTTCCTCTTTACTTTCTATATTCCCATATGCAATGATGGAGATGGAGTACTTGGGATCAGCAGAATTCTAAAACTACGGAACCAACTGGTTTCAAACCGGGGGAACTACATCCGGAGCAAGGACCCCAACAGTTTGGAGGATATCTTGAGAAAAGGTTTTAGCACCGGTGTATCCTATATGTACTCTAGTTTATTCGAAGTATCCCAATGGTGTAATGCCGTCGACTTATTGGGAAAAAGGAGGAAAATCACTTTGATCTCTTGTTTCGGAGAAATAAGTGCCTCACGAGGAATGGAAAGAAACATATTATATATAATCGCGAAGACCGTATATGGCACTTCTTCTCCTTTTCCTGGATGGAAGATCACTTGTAGTCATTCCTACATGCTAATCTATGTTCCATGCGGCCAAGAAATAATAATAAAATAAAAAAGGTATTGCTTATAATAGTTGCTCGTTCGTTCACGACCACTTGTTAGTCTTGCTACACTACACGACACGAGTGACGGGTGAAGTTGAAGCAGTAATAGAATATGAGGAAAATGAGTGTTTGAAAGAAGAGAATGTAGTTTATGCTGATGAGGGAGAATTGCTTGAGGTGGATGATGATCAGCGTGGTAACATGTTACATACTAGATGTACCGCTGGCGGAAAGGTGTGTGGTGACATTCTAAATGGAGAGAGTTGTACTAAAGTTGCTTCCAACACATTGGTGGAGCAACTAAACTTGAAGACAACAAAACACCCTCATCCATACGAGGCGCAATGGCTGAATCAACAAGGAGAGATTCAAGTTACTAAGCAAGTTCTGGTGCCGTTCTCTATTGGGAAATTCTATAAAGGTGAAGAGATGTGTGACGTGGTGGAGAGGCCGTGGCAGTATGACAAGAGAGCTGCGCATGGTGGGTTCAAAAAAAGTTACTCCATTACGGAAGAAATCTTGTTTTAGCACTTTTTAATCCTCAACAAGTGCTAAAAGATCAGATGGCCAATGAGAAGAAAAAGGAGAATTTATTTGCAACTAAGGGAGAAGGCTTTGTGCACAGTGAAATATCGTTATCCGGCTTGATGAACTACATGGCTCTAAAATCTTTTCGAAGATTGATCTCAAGAGTGGGTATCATCAGATTCGAATGAAAGAGGGAGATGAATGGAAGACAGCTTTCAAGACCAAGCATGGGTTGTACGAGTGGATGGTTATGCCATTTGGTTTGTCAAATGCACCAAGTACTTTCATGCGTTTGATGAATCATGTGTTGCGTAAGTTCATTGGAAGCTTTGTTGTGGTTTACTTTGATGACATCCTAGTTTATAGCAGGGATCTTGATGAGCATGTGGAGCATCTAAGGAAGGTCTTTGAAGTGCTGCAAGGAGAGAAATCTTTTGGCAATCTCAAGACGTGCCTTAACTCCGCTTCTTAAGACAGTTAAATCAGAGCCCAACCTGATTAGAAAGCCAAGTGCATAACCTAAAGCAAAACCACGATCAGAGAAAAACGAGGAGGACTCCCCTCTAAGGTGCTGGGAGCAAACCCCCGACGAAAGGAAGCTGAAAGTTGGGGAAAGATGGAAAAAACCATTACTAGGTATACCGACCGCCCCGTTGCTCGCATGAGTGAAGGGAAATGCAAGTATCTTTATTTCCAGGTTCACCCGTGAAGGTAGAAAGATTCTCGTTGCTTTCCCCTTTCCTGATAGGTCTGGGCCGGTCCTTTTTCTCACCTTGACAATCAAAACAGCTATTCAAACTCCCTAATAGAATGAAGGGCAGTTGGCTTCATGGCTTGCTATTTTATAGCTTTTTATAATCCATATCTGACAATATAAAAAGGAAGTATCCAGCGTGCTATCAGCTGGAACGGAACAAGGGCTTGAAGAGCTTTCTTGAGGGGTTACGGGATGAAGCTACTAGTACAAGACCAGACTTTTCTTTATTTTGAGCTTCCCCCGCTCGGAGTGGCTACGCTCCTGCACCTGCACTTCAGAGAAGGATATGAAGTAAATACTTTATGTGTTATACTTTTTTTCTTTTTTAAGATCTTGATTGGTTTGAAAGGCATATTGGTTCACGTAAGAATGCGCGTAAAAGGGAGTTATTCATGTTCAAGCTAGTTTTAACAATACCATTGTGACTGTTACGTGTGGTCGTGAGCTGTCCTTGGAATGAATGCCTTAGTTTTGTAAGCTCCTTCATGCCTTTGCTCCCGCAAGCGGGAAAGAGAGTACTCCTATCTTGCTAAACAAAGGGAGAGAGAGGAGGAAGGCAGAGATAGCAAAGCCATTGGTGGAGAGAGGTGGGGCATGCCAAATACTGATTACCGGATTGCCTGATTGCTAGTATGGATATATTCCCTTCGTACCTTTATGACTTTCTTACCTGCTTAACCGCTTCGCCCCTTTACCGCTTTACTGTTAACTAAACAGAGTCTTTATCACCTTAAGTTAAGGAGCAATAGACGGAATTAGTGATAGCTGTACCAATTAGATGAAGGAAGCAAGGGAGTCAATAGACTGTTCGTAGCGAGATAAGACTTTTAACGCTTTCTTCATTGCGCAAGAATTCATATATTAGTAAGGAACTGATTGATCTGTAATAAACTGTCTTAGTCTTACTAGCACCCGTAGTAGGAAAACTTAGAGGAATGGGTAGCGTCTTTACCTTCTTTCATGATGTAGTTGCTTATCCTTTAGGGAAGCATTTCACTCCTTAAAGAGATGTGGAACTCTTTGACAGCAGGAACTTGAGACTCGGCTTAGTGTCTTACGTGATAAGGCCTCTCTTTAAGCATCAAAACAAGAGTTACAGGAGGCGAAGTAGGAGTAGGAGAAAAACAAGTTCCAGCACAAAAATAAGCTCTTCGACCACTTTGTAGCGCTCCTTTTCTAGGCTACGTTCGACTCGTAGAAAGAAGATTCCGAGTTTCAATCGCCTGGCCGATGTCACATCAAAATGATTAAGACGATTCTTTTTCCCTTCGATCATTATCCACTTCAACTAGAAAGAACTAGGAGAGGCACGTTCGGAGATGCTCGAGCGAAGCGAGAGGAAGTGAAACGAGCGATAGCGAGAGGATTTACTCCCCAGCCAGAATCCGAATCTTAAGCTTAAACAAAATCATTCCCGTCCTCAGCACCCGAATCATTCCTATCTGAATCTCCATCCGCCGCATTTGAATCAGAGTACGGAGGTGCGGCAGGTGGTATCGTATATAAGATAACTCTTACTTTTAGGATAGGAGTGCTTCGGCTTCGAAATAGAAGAAGTTGTTTTCAAGGCAACTAGATATTTCGTAAGAGAAGAAAGCCGAACCTCTGATCGGCCTAGACACATAAAAAGAGTCTTGGCGTCGAGAGATATTCCGTAAGTAACTCAGTGCATGTAAGGCTTGGAAAAAAAAATGAAATATGAACACGGTCGTACCGAAGTTTGAGCGAATAAGAAGAGGTCATGACTCTCGTTCACACTGTTCGTCCTAAATTACGTCCATTTCTCTATTCGTTATTAATCTTGCTCACTTTGTTTTACTTTCTTTCTCTGTGTCTGGGTTCAGTTGAATTCTTTCATGCCTTACTTTCAAAGGCTGGGGTGTCGAGCCCTATCTTGTTTCTTGCTGAGAATTGGATGCTCCAGCTGGATTGCATTTTATATTTATTTTTCTGTGCCCGGGGAAACCCACGATTTTGCTCATTCTATGTTGCCTGCCAACCCTCCGCAGGAAGGAGGGGAGGCTCCCAATCTCCCCATAGGGGTCATGGGGCCGGCAGCCCCTAGTATTGACTTCTTAAAAACAAAAATACTCCTCGTTTTCCGTTCCATTTCGCGGGGCCGTAGAAAACCGCGAACCAACTTTTTAGCCGATATTCAGGCGGCTGGAAACGGCTTCCCAGTTTTTACGCCTGAAAATAGCTCAGGTTCTAGAGGAGCTTTCGAAAAACCCGGAGCGATGGAACAATTGCGGTCACAAAGCCGCCGTCGAATTAAAGGTTTTGATCAACGATTGAGAGAGGGAAAGAGGGCTCCTTTCGGAGACATTGGATAGGACAGCTTTTTAGTTCTCACCTGTTAGAAGCGAAAGAGGAAGGTTTCTTTTGGGAGATTTCGTTTGTCGTGAGAGCTTTCAATTCATACATAGAGTCCTCATTCATTGATGGGAGAGTCCCCACCGGTCAGCGATTTGGTTTTATGCATTACACAAGGTGGCACGGACGAGTACTAATTTAATTGGGTACGCAAAAGCCTAACTCAGCTAAGCTAATAAATGCTGCATAAGAGAGTGGGAGGCCGGCCCCTGCCCATCTGGAGGTGCACACCCATTTAGGAACATATGCAAAAAAGGGGTAAAGAGAGAAGTCAATGGAGAACTACCAAATCCAATGACTTTGATTTGTTCGTACCATTCTGTCATCGATCACTGCTGGGTCGGTTGGTGAGTCACCCCCAAAAAAGCATCGAGAAAAGTCAAGCATATATGTTTTATGAAATGATCAGCGGTCTCATTTATGCTATGCCCTGCATCGTGTTCGTGTGTGTTTATTGAGCTTTCTTCACTTCAGCGCCATGCGCTTTGCTTCGCTTTATAGAAGAGAGAGACCGTTGTTTTGTTTTGAGAGTGAAAAGCAAGCGCAAGCGATAGAAAGGATAGTCCCTCGCGCGTTCGCGCGAAACTACTATTGGTGAGATCATTAGTGAAAGAAGGACCAACGACGATCCTATCCTAAAGGAGCAGGAGGAGTCAGTCTTCTTTGAAGATCGAGGAACGTAGTGTCGGACAATTATGCCATTCGGAAGAAGTCTTCTACAGAGGGAAAGCAGCCTGTTACGAGTAAGTGGAGAGGAAAGATCTCCAGAGATTCTTATCTCATTCCATTCCAGTGGCTCGACCAGTAACCAATGGCGAAAACTAAAAAATCCATGGTTTCCCGGTAGAACCCCATTTCGCCCAAGTTGTTGCGAAACCGGAAAAAAGAAGCGGTTTTTCGCACAGCTTGCTCATAGTGCGGGTCCCACTTGTATATTGTATTTGGCCGAAGAAGCATCGGACAGGTTGGAGTTATTACCTTCTTTGGACTCTATGGACCAAGATCTGCTTTCATTATATGGGCAATATCGATCTACTTTAGTAGATCATATGGATGTAGAAAAAGCTTCTGATTTTGATGAATTGGAAACATCTCTTTTCCATTTTTATTTACCTAGTTCATATCTTTGTTTCGTGTGTTCCCGGGAGGAATTCGATCTCTTCAATCTCGGGATACCACCTAAATAACTGCGGCCAGAGAGTCAAATAGGTCGGGAAGAAAGAGTCTGAGGTCGGGTTGGACGACATACATCTTGGTTGGTTCCCCATCCTTGCAGGGTGATGAGACCAATAGCTGTGGAGCACAGATGACCATCTCTTCGAGCAGGGATATGGGGTTGGGCCCCTAGATCCAAGTCTAAAACAAAAAAAGAGAAAGCAGGTTGAGGGGAGGCAAGGCTGGATCTCATG